ATTAGCAAAAGTCAGGTGGGACAAAGTTGCGATCTCTCGAAGGGTGGACAGTGTCAGCGTATCTTAAAATTAATCTCTCAGAGAGAAATTTCCTCGTACATTCCCTTTCAATATTACGCTGTCCAAAGTATCATAATGTCGTTAAAATCGTCAAAGAAACAGTATCCTTTTAATAAAGATTTTGTTGTCGTTCGCTTTTCCTAAAAAAAAAAAAGGAAGAAAATTTTATTTATCGAAAAATAAGAGTACCTTCTGTTATTGTTGACAATAAAATCGCAGCAGTGTTTCATCGCGCGGTGCAATGATTTTATAAATGTAATTCAGACGTGATTTATCGAAAATTTGCATACCAGTAGCTGAATTACGCTTAATAAAATTCCCAATTAGAAATCGTAAAGGGTGTACAAATAACAATATATTTGTACCGCACGGTGCACAGCTGCGCGGGAATCATTGATTTTCCTCGCTGCGTAAAAATGTTGCTTTCGAGCGCGATTAAATATTGCAACAGCTCTTTCGTTCAAATGGATTTAAAAGTATAAACATTTGTCCTCCGAAATGGTCATCTCGTGAAAAGTCGTTCATGGGATCTTCAATTCTAGATTTATCCTATGTTCGTATCAAAAACTATATTAGAAAAATGAAACTTAAGTTTAAGAGCAGTTTCATGTTTCTGATTTAGAGAAAAAGTGACGAAAGATTTCGTCGTTTTCAGCGTTACGAAGCGAGATTGATATTCATTGCTTTTCTGATTTCGTTCGGCCATCAAACGAAAAAAAAAGAAATTTAATAGACGTGACGGGCGAACCGCCTCTAATTAATGAATGCCCGACGGCGTTAGCGTAATTAACGACGTTAATGCCACTGCGAGTATCATCAAAATTTCACTGTGCGAAATTTTCTAACCTCAATGTGAGAGTGAACCGGCGACGTATAAATTTCTGATTTTAACAAGTAGAAAAACAGACGTCGCTCGAGGGTTCTTCGTGAAATAAAAATACGTATGGAAGGCATACGTACATACGCGTGGTGATGTTAAAAGTCTTCAAATGTGCCATCTTGGGAAATTTCCTTTAGAATATTTGCTGCTGTAGCCCGTTAAAAAAATAATTTTTAGCGTATACACGGTATACTTTGAAACAGAAGTTTATAAATTGAATAATTTTCCAGTGACATATTTATGAAACACTTTCACTGTTCCCTCAATATATATACTCAATTATCATGCGGTATTGCATCCACAATAAGCACAACGAATCCACGTACAAGTTGGTGGGGAATTTTCCACGAGTAATTTCCAACAGCCTCGTCCATTTTCTAGGAGCCGGGATCTGGCCGAGTACCCGGCTCTTCCGAAAATTATGGTTAAAATTGTAGCGATATCCTTGCACTTTCACGCCGCGCACACGCGCGCAGGCAAGAAGGATTTACATATAGATTAGACGGATGTTCACGACGCAACGGGAAATAGAAACGTGGCGCGGCTATCAATGCGAATCATGCGACGATTTTGGCTCCGATTCAAGCAGACCGGCTCCAGAAGCGAACTCGTATATTTCCTTCTGTTCTCGCCAATCGGCTTGCCCACTGTCCCACTGTGCCTCCTTTCACAAAGTACGAATTTGTTTCACACACGTGACTCGTAAAAGCTTTTGAATATCTGCCGTACGAAACATTTGGAAATTCGATTAGCTGTACTCGTCGAAAATATACATGTCGAAGTTTCACGATATCTATTCGAGGCAATGAAATTGAAAGTTGATAAGTGCAAATTGATTGCAAACTTCTCGAATGTAAATACATTGTGATCGATTTTGTAATAGAAATGAAAACGAATGGTCAAAGAACAGGGACTTGTTGAATGAAGAGACTATTACGTCAAAGATGTTGGAGATTCATATTTCACGTTGAGATACTAATTTAATTACTAAAAATATAGTTTACAGTTTACATTTATATAATTTACATTGTACCATACGTGTTATGTAAAACATTTTTCAAAAATTTTATTGATGATGTGACGACAAAAATTAGCAAGCAATCTGACAATGTGAGATATTTATTGCGAATATTTAATAAAATGATACAAAATATTTAATAAAAAGATGAACGTTCATCTTAAAGATAGAACAAATGTCAATTCTCACTGAATATTGAGATTCAATTTAACAATCAACTTGTACTTAATATTCCCAACATAAAACTTTTTCCAATATTATACTAACACTATATTATACTTTCCAATATTCATAATATCATTATACTTTCAAAAACATCATATTAATAAGTTCAGTATTATAAATACATATAAATATTTCCAATGTTAAACTTGTAATCACAATGATCGACTATAATCGAGCCTCTACGACGCTAATTTTAAACTTTCTCGCACGACGCACGTAACAGCATTCATCGAGAATTCCTACGAACGGAACTTTCTTAAGCTACTCTACAAGATTTTGCTCGACAAAATTTTCTCTGGTTGCGGACATCGACGCGTGAACTCGACGAGCGAGTGAATTCGACATCGAACGAAACGGCTCTTCAGACACTGGCACCGTTCCAGCGAATTATACCGACACGTAGCATTTCATGCGACATGCCGTATCGTACGTCGCGGAACAACCTGCCTCCACTTCTGCCTTCTGGTCGCTCCTTCTTTTTTTTTTTTTTTTTTTTTTTTTTTGCCCCTTCCGCTTTTCAAACCGACCGACGTGACTCTTCTCTCATTACGTAGCTTGAAAAGGGCTCGGTGGGCCATTGAACGTGTCGATGTCGAGACGCTGCGAATCGATGACAGGAAGAGTCAACGACGTTTCCTACTCCCACTCGTGCTCACTAGTTTTTCGAGAGTTTCTCGATGCCCGCACACCTCTCGCGAGAACACCGAGCACGGCACATTTTACGTCTTGGAGGGTCTTCAACGAAAATCGTCGTCAGAGAAAGTCGAACCCTTCTTTTTATCTAAGCACGAGTGAATTTCAGTGTTTCATCTCTCTTTTTCCAACGTTGTTGTCGTCTACTCTAAAATTTCGGACGCGATGCCTCTGACGCAGTAACGAGCTCAAAACTGAGATTTTCGCTATTCCTGCCAAAGTGTGTTGCAAGCTTCGAGTTTTGTTTTGTATTTTATAAGGATCATCGTGTGTTTTCTGGAACAACAGTAATTTCTGAGAACGCTGGAAAGCTTTTCGCGTGGATAAATTTTTTTTTTTTTAGAGTGAAAAGGTAAGTCTCTTTTTCACTCTCATGTAATTATTCGAAAATTCTACTTTGTTGATACTGAAAGATTCGTCATTTCAACTTTCATTAAATCGTACATATTTTTTCATTATAGAAGATAGAAATATCTCGATAATTGATATTCAGCTTGAAATTCTTCTAAAAAAAAAATCTGCAGACACTGCAAAAATTTGTTTGCATTCTACCTCGATATTAAATTCTTCGGAAAACATTTTCTGCGTTATTTTTTCTTCCTCTTTTTTTTTTAGAGAGAAAATTTTGACAGTAACATGCTGTGAAATATGAAGAAGATGTTAAACTACGTTTCAAAAGAGTTTCTGAAGAGAATTCGATCGATATATTTCAGCGTAAAATCAATACACGATTAAGCATAGACTTCGCAACAAATGTTATTGTAACAATTCACAAGGCATCAATCATCCATCAGTATTTGACAGATTAACTATACCACTTGGCAAAGTCAACAAAATTTCATTTAATCCAGTTTAGAATTTCTAGTAATTGCTTTTTCGGCAGACAAAGCAATCTACTTTCGACGTTATCCCGAAGCGAATTGTTGTGTGAATATTAATCGCGTTTGATAACGCGAAATGTTCTGAATTACACGTTCGTGAACTTGTTTCTTTTACGCGAATACGCTGTATAAATCGTGAGTCAAGCAGTTTCGCGTTATGAATTTGACAAATGTTTCACATTCGGCGTGAAAAATCGCGCACGTTCGCAGCGTATTGTCCGCGAAGTATCTAAAAACAATTGTTAGGGAAACTGCGATATTTTAACGTCACGTTATGCAACTATTTTCAATTATTCAGCCGGCTTCAACTAAATGAGTAACTGCGGCGAAATTTATTTTTAACGAATTCGTTCAATGTTTTTAGAGTTGTTTAAAAAATCAGAAACCGTTTTAACGAATCTGGTAGTTAGACATGCTCTTTATCAGCCGCAGCAGCTATCCTTTTCGTTATTTCGGAATCGAAATTCATTGGAAAGTTGAGAACGAATGGTTGAATATTAAATTGAGAAATTGAAACGAACCACTGGAATTCAGAACACAATCAATCGTGAATTTAATATAGGGCAATTAAACGAGTTAGTCCTCGAAGAATGATGTAGAAATGAAGTAATAAAGTAAAGAAATTGTGCAACTTTAAAGAAATTAAAGTACAAAGTGAAATCAAAAGGTATATTTCATATGTATGTACGTCAAATATAAAGAGCCCATTTCTTATTAAACTCCCAACTTCATTCATGATTGAAATAACATTTCGAGCAATCAGTGCAATTGTGTTTAGTTAAATTTTCAATGGAAAAGTTGTATAATTTAATTTCGAAACACTCGCGCACGAGTGATCTTTGCTTTACGAAATCGATCGAGGGGGCTCGTGAAATGCTTGATATAAAATTTCAAGTATCACGATTTCGAAGCCCTTTTTTTCGAAAAATCGCGCCATGTCTCGTTTCACGGGCGATCGATAGAAAAACCTCCTCGCCCTTATCTGTTTGGAGCAGCTGGAGGGGCGGCAGAGAGGGGAAGGAAAAAACCGTGACGCTAAACCGCAATATCCCGAAATTCCGTCGAACACGAGAAACAAAAGTATTTGTGTGTTTACGGATAGTTGCTTATTCAAGCGACACGCAATATTGCGTCCGCGATGGCAATGGAGGGCGGCTAGCCGAGTTTTTTTATTTCGTTCGGTTGTATGCCGACCGGTGTTTGACTGGTGTTTAATTTCCCCTCGTTTGATTTTCTGTTGCAGGCGCTTTTGCAAGCGCATGACGTAGCGGGACACGAAGTTTATGGCGAAGAAGCGACCAGAGTTACGCCGCCGCCTCTTCTCCCCTATCTGAACGGCGGCGACGATCTCGAGGGTCAAAATGGCGACTTGGACCTCGAGAATGTAACGCGCGTCAGGCTGGTCCAGTTCCAGAAGAACACCGACGAGCCAATGGTAAGATTGTAATCTTATGAAACGATATTCACGTCGATATTATACGCATATACAAAGTGGTCAAAATGACCAATTTATAATTTTTTATAAAAGAAATACTTCATATACTTGCGACAGTATGGTTTTTAAGACTTGAATGATTTTTAGCGAAATATGTAAATAGAGTCTTGTGTTCCTGTGGTCGAAATATGACTAATTTATAATGTTCCATTATAATTTTTCATAATTTCGTATAATTATGATTTTTAATGAAATATATAAATAGAAACTTGTGTTCTTCTGATTAAAATGATCAATTTATAATTTTCCGTAGAAACTTCATATATCTGTGTATTTTTGAAGACTCGAGTGATCTTTAGTGAAATATCAAAATAAAAGTTTGCGTTCTTCATTATAAATTATTTCCTATTTCTTGCTATTCAACTTCTCTGCTACAAATTTTATTAACTTTGGCGTTATAATTCTAGCGTTAAATACGTATGAAAGTTGCAAAAGTGAAAAGAGATCGATTACGCAGTGTCGGCGAAAGAATATGTCAAGACATTTATTAAAACTCTAGTTGAGTCTGGTTCCATAATTAGAAATAAGTGACAGTTGTTAGAATTATTTTTGTACCGTCATTTTTCTATAATTACTTAAGCTGTCTCTTAGTAATTAATAAATTCACGATTTTTGTTTCTTAAAACGTTCAATACTACGTACACAACAAAGCTGATCATTTTGATTGAAATTTATATTTCTATGAATATATCTACGTATAAAATTATTTTGCCTAAATAATTCCTACGTATAAAATTATTTTGCCTTAATTCATTTCCTCCCCCCCCCCTCCCCCCAATAAAATTCTTCTGCGACGCATTATAAAATCACGTATGGCTTAATATTTTTGTATCCGAATTTGTATCCTTCTGCCAACTTCGTTACTTGTTCCATTAAGAGATTGCATTTATATTCATGGACTTCATCATTTGTTAGTTTTTCATGACTGAAATATGTATGTATGTATGTATGTATATGGAAAGAAGCACAGTGAAAACGCGGCGTCACTTCTTCTGCTTGCAGGGAATCACATTAAAAATGAACGAAGATGGAAAGTGCGTGGTAGCAAGAATTATGCACGGTGGTATGATACACAGACAAGCGACCCTTCACGTGGGTGACGAGATCAGAGAAATTAACGGGATACCGGTGGCCAATCAATCTGTCAATGCCTTGCAAAAGATACTCGTGAGTACAATGCCAATCCTCGATGATCGTGATCGATCGATCACGGACGATTTTTTTCTTGAGAATATAAAGTCTATGGAAATTAAATTTCTTATTTAATTTCGTAAACGTAATACGCACGTATTTCTTTCCCGCTCAGTATGAAATAGATCACACAACTGAAACAGGCTGTATGAAAAGTAAACGAATTTTAAATGTATACCGAACGAGAAGATCCTTTTATAAGTTCGTCTTGAGATAAACTCGTATTTAATTAAAAAATTTTTATCTCTTTGTCATTATAATTCGCAAAACGAGTGCTTTTGGAAACACCAGAGCGGGATGTATAATTTGTTCTTTTCCATTCTGGTATTAAATCATTATGAAGAAGTAGAATTTTTAAAAATCGTTTTCAATCAACTGTTCGAAACATTCTATTCTAATTTGTCAGCAAGGAGAATTTCTATTGAAATGGATCAATGTCGAAGGAACACTATATTAAAACATTCGCCAAACGAGTGTACAGAGTCTGGAATAAATCAAAAACTCTCAAACGTTCAAATAGCAAATGCTTTATGACGTGACATATCACACATCGAGCAACGCGTGACGCCCGAATGTCTGTGGCCGTCATAAATTAATTGAATTTTTAACATCCTTCTCTAATCATACTCGACATTTTCCGATCGCAATTTCCATCCTAATATCAACGACAGGAACGTTCTTTACCATCAGACAGATGGAAATTGATTGCGTGGATTTTGGTTCATCGATGGTAGATGAACTTGGCAAATTATGTCAAATTGTATTAACATACCACAAAACATGGTGTGCAATTACATAATATTATCGTACAATCACATGATATTATATAAAATAAAGAATAATCATATAATACAAAGTAAAAAAAAAATCACATAATATACAGTATCATATAATATAAAATAAAGAAAAATGTATACATAGACGATGGAAATAGATAAAGTATTATTACAATTATAACGAAGTATAATCTTTCTTTAAATGCAATTCTCATAATGCGATTATCGATTAACGGGGATGGGAATGTACGCGTATTAGTAATTGTTCGAAAATGAAGAGACAGTACCATGAGCCGACAATAGCCTATATGGAACAGATTAAACAATTTGATTGATATCCAGGAAATTTCTTCTGATTGCCGATCTATCGTGCAACCAATAAAATTTTCCGTTGTTTTGACACGCGTGTTTACCATCAGTTTCGAAAATTTTTAATTCTTACGAGTTTTAAACGAGTAACGGGGCTTTTTATTACTTTATTTACTAAATACTCAGTGATTTATATGGAAGATTCTATATGTGAGTCCGATGAAAAATAAATCATTAGAAGAATGTTTCTGCAAACTTCTCTGAATGTGTAAAAAGGTTTCTACATGATGAAATCTTTTGAAATACAACCTACTTCAGTTATGTGATTCGCCCAAGTACAAACATATTATCGCTACGAAAGAAAAAAAAAAAAAGGAAAGTATGAAAATAAAAACATGAAAATGATTTATGATGTTGTGCCGCAATATGTCCCGTGGATGGATGTTTCAATATTTGGAAAAATTGACGTGATACACGATCCAAATATAGTTATTTGTACTAAATATAAAATAGAATATATGCACTACGAATTTTTCAGACAATTTATTACGGACCATATTTTTTTAAAATATAAATAATAACTGTATGTTATAAATAAATTTATAAATTAATCAAACGTAATTCCCTAACGTAATAAGTAGAAACATTTGCAACTAAAAAGTTTGGCGATTAGCTCGGATTTTCATTCAAGGAATTAATTCATACGTTATTACAACTACCATTTATTCAGTGGCGTATAAAAGGAAGTTGCTAATTGGATATATAATAATGTCACATGCTAACTTTAGCGCTACATTAACGTGAACTTGTTTTCATCAAGTGCATACAATCCCCCATTTGTCGTAACAAAATTTTAATGAAATCTCTAATCGACTGAATTCTTACCGATGATTCTGCGAACGAGAAGAAGAATCGAGGAACCCTCCAATTGTAGTATCATCTGGTAAATTCAGAAAAACTAAATCTTCAGCTTCTAAACTTTCTTACACTCGTCAATCGTGATTCTCGTTTCAACACGATTAAATAAATCGATTGATTCGCGAAACTATTACTCGAACGATATTGCGCTTTCTGTTTCAGCGGGAAGCACGAGGATCGGTGACCTTCAAGATCGTGCCGTCTTACAGGAGCGCACCACCCCCGTGTGAGGTACAAGTAAGCCCTAAAACCCAAGCCCAATCCCAGAGTCCCAGTACAGCAAATAAACCCGTGGCTACGGCAGTGTCGACGAGCACCGGCTCGGCCGCTGTCGCGAGCAAATCCGGCAAATCAGTGAAAACCTCGTCGGCCAACAGCACCAAGGACAAAAGTAAATCAAAGTCTAAAAACAAGAGCGGCTCCTCGTCGACCGATAGCACGCCTAGGCGCCGGCTTAATCCGCTATCGGCTCTCAGATCGCGGAAATCTTAAACCTAGATGGAAGATGGATTGATCCTGTACACTCTGTAGTCTCGTAGTTCTCTTTGGCGCCAAAAATCGGAGCCAATGGTAGTTTCTCCGTTATTATTTCGCGTAATTGCTCTTCTCTAAACAGGCTTTGAATTGCAATCGCTTTGGGAAATACCAAAGAATTTTCTGATAGCCCGCCGATAGGTTACACGATGATAGATATTTATTACATAGTAGTTTCGTTGGTAGTGAATGAAGGACCGTTAGTCGAATTCTGTTGAATCATTGGTGTTTCTTACACCGGGATATTTTCTGATAAGTTTCTTAGTAATTTCTTAGTTTTTTGTGTATCAGCCGTCATTGGACGTCGAATTATGTTTCTGAAAGGAAAGTAAGTTGTTCAAGTGAACACTTATTGAATATCTTCTCTTGCCTCTGTATACGTATACAGAGAGATTTTCATACAATCGTGTCAAAGAGTTTAATTTCGAGTGAGATTTCTAAGTTTTCCATTAGTGAATTGTTTCGATGAACGTTTATTCGTCAGAGTACACGAAACAGTACTCGTAATTAGCTATATGACGTCAATAATTGGAAGCACATGGTTTCAGAGTGGTTACGTTTGAAATAGATCAATTATCAGATTATGCGAATAAATATAATCTGATAATATAAAGTGTATTTCGATTCCCCAACACTTTTGTTAGGTATTTCTAAGAAATTCTATTTCTGGCTCTTTTATTCGTCGAAAATTGCGAAAGTAGGCGTGATGCAGTGCCAACGAGTCCTTGTTATTTAATATTTCTTGTCTTATTATTAAAAGTATTGGGAGCGTAATATAAATGATAGTAATTCTGCACGACAAGTTACATAGACAATTTATCGAATCTCGTGCGTTTCGTTGAAAGAACTTTACTAAAATTCAGTCGTTGTTTGTTGGTAATTAGTTGACAAAGTATTACTATGAACATGGGCCAGATGTAGTCGTATAATTAATTTAGTTTATTTGAATTTGTATTTCAGGAGCATGGCGTATACTAATATAACTTAATTAGAAAGTTTAATGTCGACGAAACTTGCGTTTTCATTTACGAACTTCCGCCTACTTAATGCCGATTTTGTTTCTATAAAAAATTTCAACGAAAATTAAACAACGTAGTTCACAACCTACGCGACAATTAAACTCAATTAAAAGGCAGCTACGCGTTGTTTGCATACTGTATAAACTTATCCGCTTTACGAACTATGTTAGAGTATCTACTTTATCTCGTGTCACTGTGATTATAGAAATTAATTGTCTGATATTGAGTTACGCAGTTGTTTGATAGTCTACAGTTCGCCTGACAGTGTGATATTAAATAGAAGGATGTACTCTAACTTCTGAGATTACATAAGTAAATATTTCGTCAGAAGCGTTTTTGAGATATTTATCACCGAAAATTGTACAAATTGTTTCTCAGTCAATTTATATTCTTTCTTTGTTTGGTTTTTTCTTTCTTTCTTATTGATACAATTTATTGAATGATTTTTGGTGAACGTTTTAACGGTATCTGAAATTTTCTAGTCATTTTCTAATGTATTTTAAAATATTCACAATTATTTGAAAGCTTTTACTCGTCGATGAAGCGAACGCGTTAAGGTTCCCTTTTCGTTGTCAGGCGTTTTATTTCCCCTTTGGAGTATGATTGAGACGGAATTACAGCGGAGCTCGAGAAGTTCCCTCAATAATCGATAGTTTACACGTAGTTACACACCAAGTTTCACGGAAGGATAAACGCGGAAAGAGGCGATTCGTATAGTGGATTACCTTGCACACTCGCGTCGTGTTTTGATTCCACGTGGAATACATCTGATGTTGCGCTGTTAAACAATTAGAAAGCTTCTGCGAAGCGTTAATTGCTAGACTTGTAAACGGTAACTTTGCGTTTCACATCGGGATTCTGATTGCGATTTCATTTCCACGAATCGTTGCGTTTATGATAATTTTACGCGTCGAATGCGAGCTGAACATTTTCAACAGCTTCACAGAGAGAGAAGAGTGTAGAATAGATGTCTGTTTAGTATTTGAAACGCTACGAAGAAGATAAGTGAGATTAATTGAGAAATTTCATGAAATTGAAGTTTGAAGAATCACTTCGGTGATTTATATTTATAATGTTAATTTGCAGAGTTTTGCAAATGTTTCGTAATTCTTCGGAATTATATTTTCAATTCGTGCGATGTTGAATATTTTAAACATTATACTTTGCATATAAATTGGGAAAAATGCCTGACATCGATACACTTTCTTTCGACTTGGCGCGATTTTCACACGAATTACGACATCGCGCGTTGTATGAAACATGTTAGAGATTTAAGTGTAGGTTGACTAACAGCTACACAGTTACGTGGATGTCTAGATTGCTTAATAAGTCTAGATTCTAGGGACACTGAATCGATTAGGAGAACGTAATTTATATAATATATAGACGTAGCGAAGAAATAAAGCTATAAAATATTTCTCGATATTAAAAAAGTAGAATCAGATCTCAAGACTAAAAAGAGAAATTCGTACGTCTCGTTATGAGTCTTATAGTCTTGTAATCTCTACACAATATTCGTACCTGAACGTTAGAATCGTCTAATCTCATTATTCTTCAATACAATCGCGTACTTTTTATTGTTATTCTTTTTTTTTTAAATTTCGAAGCATGAAGCTTGTTACCTATAGGATTAGGTGAACTATCAAGTAACTTCCAATTTCATCGATGGAAATTGCGTATATTTCCGATCTGCATTCATCAAATTCCTTTGCTAGTGCGTAGACGTAATAAAACATTTAAGATAAGCTAACTGGTTTCTCTAAAAATTTCGCACGCAGGATAAAACAGCTGCACTTTCTAAAAATAATCCTCCGTCCAATAATTTTGATAATAACTTGCTAGCTCGGTAAATCGACGTTAAGAATACGAGAAAAATAAAGATATTACGTAAAATATTTATATCGTATTTAAAAATTTAAAATTCCCTCTGATGTACACAAACGAATTTCCCCTCGTTGAGTTAATTGGAAATTACTTATGGTCTCGCCTAATTGCTTTTGTTGACGACGGAAGTCTGCAGATTAAAAATTCAGAGCGTCTAACGAACGTGAATTTCATGAACCAACCAACCATTGAGAAATGACGGAATTTCATCGAATTTCAATGTACTGGAAATTGAATTGCTAAAAGAATCGAAACTGGGTCAAACAGAGAGAACGTTTAATGCGAAGGATCACTGTTCAATTTTGTTATCTTCGGAGTTTTCTTCTTTTTTTTTACCAAGTGAGTATATTATTAAATTCGGTTATTTGAAATCTTTGTAATATGTAATATTAATACTTCACGTTTATACTAAAATTGTATGATTTTATCTCATACCGTGAATATTTAATTAAGTTACATATCACAGTACTGGATAATTTTCATTTTAAAAAATATTCGTTATAAAATGTTCCATTAAAATTTTGCACAGAGAAAGAAAGATCACTTTTGTTTTTCTAATTTCTTTGTAAAGACGATCCGTTTCGACTCAATGCAATTTCAAACGTTATTCACGTTTTTACTGATTTCTAAACTGTTGAGAAATATATAGATTACGTTTTTCATGAACAAGGTAATAGAGAAATGATATGAAATTAATAAAATTAATAAACGAGAGTGCAACGAGCTCGAAGCAACAGGAAAGATGCAGATTTTTGAAGTTAAGCCAACCAGGATTTAGTTTGGGCCATTTTTACTTTTGCAAATGAGGTTTTCAGTTACCTGCTGACGAACATAAAAAAAAAAAAACGCGCTTGACTACAATGTCTTTTTTACATCAAACGTCGCCCGTCCCCACACTAGAAGATAGCAATTTTATTGAACATGGTAATTTGAATTCATCGCTGCAAATATATATTTTTCCAAGATAGATTCGTCTCGACGTTGTGTGATTAGTAAATAGTTATTACCTGGAGCCGATAGGAACGAAGGTTTTCACTGATTTCCTCGAATTCATGCACATACACACACACACACACACATACACACACAAACACAAACACACCTATCTACTTTTTGAAGAAATTATTGAAACATGAAAAGAAAGAAAAAAAGAAACTTCGAAATCATTACATGTTCGATCAATCTTTTTTAATATATCAAACTTGATTTACTGTTTCACGTATCGGAGAGAGAAATTTTGATTTAAAAATGATCATAATAAAGTTTCTTCTTCTTGTTTGCTCGCGAAATTATTCTCTGATGCGTTACGTTCGATAAATCGAGTTATTTCGGTTTCTTTCTCTGTATTTAAACAGTAACATACACACACACTTATATAAAAACGAGAAATATTCACTTTTCAGCTTATAATGCAAAATAGATATTATTTCAGTATCCAATGATCTCTCAGCAAGGGAGAGTATCGGTATTTTACGATTATATTTATACATGTAGTCTGTTTTTTTTTTTTTTTCTTTTCTCACGCGATTCACATTCGTGGCGATTAGGCTTAACGCAAAGCGAAGCATACTTCGCCACCACGAATTTTCCACGCTGCTTTTTTACTTTCGATTTACTTGCAAAATTACCGTCGAGGATCTTACAGAATTACACGAGTCTTGCAGACATCTGTGCTATTCGTAATGAAACAGCACACACACGCAAGAATTTGTTACTTGTTCTTTATTGGCCGACCGATATCGCCGCGAAGTTTGAACGAAATCTCTCCTTCGAAATACGAAATGCCATTCGATTTCAGCTCACGTGTATAAGTTTTCGATTACGAACGATTCGATCGCCACGTTTTATCTTTGTTTCGCGTAATTGGAAACTAAAAAAAGGTATATCGTTCGATGGATATTATGACAGATTGTAGCGCAGAATTTGGACATGATACATGACACACGTATATATACACGAACATATACACACGAATTTCTCCCCCTCCTGCTTCAAATATACATTAAGTATGTATATTATTTATACATAGAGTATATTCGTTATTTAATGTGTTCATTTCGGATATATATCTAATGATAATATCGGAGGGAAGTTATTTTGCGATGGACGAAATATGTAAGGGAAAGGGCGAGCTTTCCTTTTCTCTTGAAAACTTCACCACAACACAAATATCGATTCTGGGTAAATGGAAAGTCACGTGCACACGTGCAGGAGCGTGCAATTGTCTTTTGAATATCCCTCGTCGTTTAAAACGATTCTTTGATTTGGGCAATACGTGTTCTGAACTGTGTTACTGCCTAGTGCCTGTTGAAACAATCAATAGTGTCGGAAGTAACACAAACTATTTACGAAGTAATTACAGTGCGCGACCACGTTCGAGAATGAGTTCGAGATTATGTTATGTTCGTGAAATTTTCGTGTCACCGATCAACGTGACGTTTGTTTTCGGCGTGAAATTGAAATTTCCGGAACACGTTGGAAAAGAAAAAAAAAAAAAAAATGAGCTTAATAGAAGAAGTACCCAGCATCGCACAACACACATTATCTCGCAGGTTGTTCTACGTTAAATCTCGTGCTTAAATGCTTCGTGGCTTTTTCTTCAGTTTCATTTAGGACTTTGTCGCGTTCGTCAACTTATATTTCGAGAATGCAACCTCTGAAAAAAAAAGTGTTTGGCAATTTTTTAAATATTTCAGGCACGGAATTAAGAAACAATTGGATATTCATTTACTCATTTTATATACATTCCAACGAACGAAGAACGTTCCAATCTTTGTTAAATTCAAATAAATTATCTTTCAATTTTGAAGTAGCGAGAGTGTACATTTTGTGGAAATTAAGCTTCCGCGATCGATGAGCGCGACGATATCTAACGACAAAAGATCTATGACGTCAGATAAGCCGGTGATTTATCGTAGAATATCTGTGCAAACAGGGAGCGACGTGATTCATAGTATACTTAAACAAAGAGTGATTTTCTTGAAAATAAGGAGAAAGTGTACGAAACTTGCCATTTCTTGCCGACAAACTTCCTTTCTATAAGGCATTAACTTTTACGAATCTCCGTCGGGTTATTTTTAGCAATTTTCTTCCATCAAGTATCGTCGTATTTCGTTGTGATAAACGAGCAATGTATCACGTTTAACAAAGTAATCTGACACATTTTTTTCAAGCTTAACGATACCTTTGATTAAGCAATAAATAAATCCAATATCCATCGTCTTTCTCGATGACGTGTCACTATTTATTGCTTGACGAAACATTTCCATTTCCAGCACATGAAACTGTGTTGAATTACTTTTTTTTTTTCCTTTTTTTTTTTAAATGTAGTTCCACTTGTGCCCCCCTTAGTTAAAATGCTCTGAATAAAACTGACGTTTTACTTTTCCTGTGCAATTAAAGCACCTCGTTATTTCTGTGTAATGTAACTTTATTTCAAAATATCATTCTTCGAAACAATCGTAGAATCTATTCGTCTCCTCTCTGAAAAGTGAAAAAAATCCTACGTAGTAAATTTCCAACCAAGGCGGGCAGAGTGACAGAAGAACCTGTCGAACGATTTGCCCAAGTCAATCAAATATCCACAACGTGGACGCAAATTTGCTACTGTGCATTTTCGACTTATTTCGTCACGGAGAAATCACTTCAGTCGATACCACGAAATACGTCTCGCCTTGTTGACAAAGAAACACCACACACAGGACGCGTGGACACGTGCAAAGAGAAAAATCGCGAACGATAGAGAGATAAATTCTTTGCTCGTCGGCTGTCTCATAATTGACCGTGGACCGAGTCCATGAAGTCAATATGGAGGTAGTCGATACGGGCGAGTGTCGGGTGTTTGAACGGTGGACGCGGTGTCCTGAATCACGACCAACCGAATTCCGAAGTTTTTGCGTCTTGTTTTGCCCGTGCGGCTATGTGCACGTGCAGAGCAACGAAAGCGACGAGAAACAGGGGGCGAGGCACCCCCTGTTCCCGATGCTAGACGATAATTAAGTGCGATCCCGCAGTCTGTACCTGTGAAATTCGAAAACAGAAAACGACGAGGAGGAAGAGGAGCAAAGAACGAAAAAAAAAAAAAAGAAAAAAAGAAAGAGAAAAAGAAAAAGACGAGTAGAAATGCAGACGAAAAGAAGGCAAAGTTCAGTAGTCGAGCGGTGTAACAAAACGCTTTGGTCGGCGCTTTCGAGTCCACGGCGCGTTTTGCATGTTTTCTCTCTTTCGATATCCCTTCTCTATATATTTCTCTCTGATTCTCTCTCTCTCTCTCTCTCTCTCTCTCTCTCTCTTTGGTTCTCGGTCTGTACTGTATTTATCGATGCGTGCCATTTCACTTGACCATCGTAAATACCGTTGTGTTGTTACTTGGCTCGAAGGGTGAAATGTTTCAAGAACAGTATCAAAGTTGCAGTAATTACAGGAGCCTGTGATCCGGTGGATCGAAAAGAGGCGAAACGAAACGTTTTCGCTGGAATATTAATTTCTTTTTTTTTTTCCAAAAGTTATTTCCTGGATCTGTTAAGTCTCTGGTCGTACAGTTTTAAATAACATATTTTGTTTCTCTCTAGTACGCAGTCAGTGCGAAACGTCCGCGTACGTCGCGTTAACATTTATTTAACATTTGTTGCATAATTTTAATATCATTTTGCGTAACGGTGTTTGAAAATGTTCGTCGTTAATACAGAGAGAAATGGATGCGAATTCATTTGTTGAACAACTTGTTCTCTTTGTTAAAATCATGCAACGCTGAATAAATTTTAGCCAGGCGTACGCCGACTATTTGGCTCGGCTAACTATATAATTAAAATAATTATCCGTATGTGTAAAAGAAAAATTAAGTAAATTGAAAACGAAGTAAGTCAAGTAAAGTGGGACAATCTGGCTCCATCCTTCTCGTTCTTTTGTCCTTTCAAGTAATTCTTTCTCTCTCTCTCTTTTTGTCTCTTTCTTCTGGTTTTTATCTTTATTATTCTTTCTATCTGTCTCTATCTTTTTCGCTCTCTGTTCTTTTTCCTTTTTTTCTTTTCTTTTTATGTTTCTCTCACTCCATAACGTCGGGTCGATCATTTGTTCTGGTAGACAGTAACATTATTGCGGGCAAGTTTCGTAAGGAATGCACCTTTCGTTACAACATGTGTTGGAATGTTGTTTGTTGTTTTTTGTCGTAAAGAAGCTTTTGTTACACCCCTCATTATACCCTCACCTGCATGAAGGATATCTTTGCGAACGTTGAAAGCTTTCCTTTCTGACCGGTACATATTATTATATACTATAATTTTCTTGCATCATGGTTTTCATTAATGCATACTCTGCGATCTCTCTCGATCTTGCGCCCATTCGAGCGATTATTTTTATTTCCGAGCGCGCGAATCATACACGAACTTTCCGAATCCCGATCGTACTCGTCTCCTGCACGACGCGATGCATTCTCGAATCGGTGATTGAGTTTACTTATAAAAATGTACTGAGAATGTCTGATTCGCGCGGCAGATTATTATTATTATTATTATTCGTTTTTTTTTTCTTTTTTTTAATCTGAGGATTTATGTTGAGTTAAATTGGTAAGCGAGAAGAAACTCGTAAGGTAATAATTTTAATTAAGAAAGGCAGGTATTTGGAAATTTAATTGAGGAAAGTGGGAATTCCGGAATTTAATCGAAATATTAATTTGTAGGAATACGGAAATTTAATTGGAAGAGATTAGAATTTTCGAATTTAATTGGACAAGCCGTCTACAAGATCAAAGGAAAACTATTTATTGTGACGTGCTTAAATTCGCTAAAGACAATTAAGATCTTCATTTCAGCATCTTTATTTGTGTAATTTTGTTCTCTTGTAAAATTGTAATGTAAGCATCATAGAAGTTAATGAACTGTTGTTCGAATTATGTTGTTCGAAAATACGTTTTTGCTATGTAATCACGCTAAACCACGTTTAGATTAGCTTTAAACGTCATTAATAAGATCTGGAGCAAATCTCGAGTTACAAATTGCACAACGAAAACGAATTTAGTAATAAAATAATTAGGAAATTGTCTTCCTCGTCAGTCACCGATTCAAGCAAGTAGTGCGATTTGATTTTTTCTTTTTTTTTCTTTTCTTGGCATAAAACACTCGAGTGTCGTAGGAAATAATCTTAGAAATCATAATCATCTCGCATCCTCAACACGAGCGGATTCTCCTTACTTATTACTAAACGTCCAAACTGAATGTCACTGAATGTGCAAACATCTCTGAACATGCAGCTGAGGGTAGCCAATCTTACGATGAATCTTACGTTCTCTGTTCGCGCCGATTTAATTCACGTTTGAACGTAATCTCAGGGATTTCGATCAGTCTTTCGAACAACAACGGCGACGATTTGAAACCGTGAAGATTTTTTTTCATTATAACGTGAAGGCTTCACGTTTCTCGCGAGTGATGAACGAGACGGGACGAAATTACAGATTGTTGTCATGAAAAATCGTCAAGCAACAGTCTCTTGACTGGTTGTCACGTAAATTAGCAATTCTTCTAGTTTCCTTTCGATTCTGGTTTTTATAAGCACGGAATAGATGTAACGTGAGGTCATCGTCTTGCAAGTGAATTGAATCTTGATAATAATTCCGATGTTTTTCACGGCCCGGTGATTCGTGACGGAATTCGATACGAATATTAAGGCAAATTTTCTATCTCTTGGCACTTGAAAAGTGTCGAATTCGGAAATATTACCTTTTCAGAAATATTCACATTGATATTCCAAAGAAATTTTCCAAACTTTTAACGCAATTCATCGTTGTCAAATTACGATTTTACGATAAAGTGTACAAATGCTATATCTCAAGATCGAGAAGATCTCTTTTTTTACATAGAAAAAGAAAACGTGTTCCTGTACAACCACTATGTAAATATTCCTGCAGTTTCCTTCTTTCTATTCCTTTCTGTTATATATATTTCTAAAATCCTTTCACCTTTTAAAAATTCAAAGAATGCCAAAAAGTAGAACCAATGTGTGCTTGACATGTATCGAATTCCACAACGAACTGGTCGGGCCTTCGGAAAGGAAAGAAAGAAAGAAAGAAGAAAGAGAAAGAAGAATATTGGAATTTTGTTGTATTCCCTCGTCAGACAGTACGATTGAAATCCTAATTTCGCGGTCACAAGCGTGACGTTTTACATCTCTGATTTTTGTACATAGTTCGTACATGTATATAGCTCGATGTCGTTTCGATGTTTGATCCAGCGGTCCTGTTTCATTGTGCCCAACACGAACAGATTGCAATACCACCGCGAGGTGAACCCGGGTTATTTATATATGTACAGACGGCTTAATTCACGATAGATTTTGTAAAGAATTGTAAGAAATTATGTCGAAAAGTACTATACATATATACACATATATAATACACACTATATATGTATATATATGTATATATAAATGTTACACGAAGTTTGAAAGTTTATCAATTATTACATGTAAAACGTGCTGATATAATGGATTTTCTGTTATGTAAGATTTGTCTCACACGATTCACAATTATTATGTCGCTCCATACCATCGGCACAAAACAGGCAAACGAAAATTGATCGGCAATTTCATTTATTTCTTTCGACTCTTCGGTTAATTACCAAAATAAAAAATCAAATCTTCTCGTACCAACTTTCTTTAAAGTCACTTTCTCGATTCTCTCGCCAATTAAACGCAACAAAGAGAGTTTTAATTCAACGACGATCCTCGATCGTTCCTGTTTTGTGCAACAGAGTGTTACTCGCACCTCAACCAAGCTGCAATTCTTTAAGAAAAAAAAAAAAAAAAAAAAAAAAAAAAAAA